CACTTCTTATTTATCCTGTAGTACCTAACATGGTCATACTCAATATATGATTATGTAATAAACAGATAAAATGTCAAAGATGAAGCCAAAATTGTGGGCAAAGATTTAGAAGATGAGGAAGCTATAATAGTTCTGCAGTTGGAACAATGTCTATGCTTTGGTAAGATAGAGCATGTGAAGAAAAGGGAATAACTGTAAGTTAGGGAAGACATTTATTTTTAAATTCAAAAATGGTTTCTCATGACCACAATATAAAATTGATATTAGATCAAAGGATTTGACTGTTTAAATGCAGTCGTATATTATTTAAAATGAAGATTTACACAAGATCAATGCATTGACATTTCAGGACTTGGAGAGCTGCCGACTTCGTCTGGATCCCGAGTTAGATCGCCACAGATATGAAAGAAAGATCAGCTTTGCTGGGGTCCTGGATGAAAATGAAGATTCAAAAGATTCTCTCCACAGCAGCAGCCATACCCTCAAATCAGATGCAGGGGTGGAGGAGAAGAAAGGTATGGAAAAATAAGAATTATTCCATGACCCAGAGTTTCTCATAGGATATTTGGTTGGAGTACCCGAAATTTTGTGCCCACATTTTGATTCCATACTGTACTGTGTAAGCTGAATGAGGTGGGAACCATACTAGTTAGAGGTTGGATTCTGCAGTCAGAGAGGCCTGGATATTATCTACAGCTTAGCAACTCTTTGTATCCTGTTGAATCTATGGCACTGTCAGCTGTCAGATGAACTATTAGGTCGTCAGGAAAGTCATGATGTATTGTTCTGTGCAAAAATGTATCATGACTTTCCCAATGAAGCAATATTATTTTACTTATCAAAAGAAAGGAAAACCACTCCATTCAATTCTTACACAATACTGGCTTATCACTTAGCATTTTATTCCTTTGTTTATTTGTTTCTTAATTTGGTATAGGGCTCATGCTCTTGCCAGAGAGACACAGAGAAAGCGAGAAAGCACTCCCTAGAAGGGAAGGACACTGTATTCTCTTCTCATCTATTCTCCTCTTAGGATTTTGCTCAGCATGTTTTTCAAGTTACTCAGTGCGGGACTCAAACTACTCACTTAGACATATGGGACCCAGTTTTCCTACCCATCACACCACTAGCTGGCCCAGGTTGTGCTTTATTCTTATTTAAAAAGGAATTTCAGGGACCAGCGGTAGCATAATGGTTACGTTGCTGGACTCCCACATAGTTGACCATGGTTCGAGTCTCAGACCCAGCAGCTTTAAACTCACATTGGGCATGTGTGTGTACATGCCCAAAATTCTGAGAGGAGAATGGAAGAGAACGGATTGTGGTGGGGCCATCCCCCCTGGGGGGTGATTTCTCGCTTTCTGTCTCTGTCTCTCCAGCAAGAGCCCGTGGCCTATAGCAAAATCTCTCTCTCTAAAAAAAAAAAAAAGGAGGAATTTCAGACTTAATCAAACATACTTTTTTCTATAACTTTATAATTTTCATGCAGCCCCAAAGAAAGTATAAATAAAATAAACTAGTTAAAGTTATTTTCAGTTGAGAGTTCATATTTCTTAATCACTTTCCACCTCCAAGTTGTCAGTGTCCATGTTTTTTTACATGGTAAGGAAACATTCTCTGTGCCATCAGAATGTCAGTGACACTTCATTTCTGAAATGAATCCATAAATGAAAGTGGTTTGTATAGTTACATAAGCCAGCTGGAGCTAGCCTCCCTCCATATCTTCTTCATGAATATTACTAAACATATCTGATTTATTGCTTCATCCACTCTATCAGCCCTCACTACCACTTGGTTTCTTGAGATTAAATGACACTGGCACCCATTCTGTTCATTTCATGACTGGTGATTTAGCTTCTTGCCTTGTGTTTTAGTCCATCATGTTGCTAATAACAGAAATATTAGTGTCTGGATACTTTATAAAGAATAAGGGCTTATTTATGGTTTCTACCCTCTTAATCCCATCACAGCCAAGTTTTATCATGTGAATATTTGAGGGACATTCCAACCATGTCACATAAATAAAGCAGTAACAAATATATCACAATGATTATCTGGCACTGGGAATTGTAAGATGTCATCAATTATATGACAAATCCCAATTTCAGAATCTTAAAATGTGAAAAAGTACATCCTACAGTGGGTAAAATATAGTGATATGCTATGTGATCATATACGTTTTTAAACTACAGTTTTCCGTAAGATTGGATTAGTAGCATTCACTGCATTTATAGTGCTAACAACTTTAAATGCTTTATTTTTTGCAAGTAAAGAATAAACTTAGTATCTATAAATCATAGGTGCACAATAAACAAATGTCATTTTTATGAGTATATAATTTAGAATTCACACAGGAAATCCTATGAACTAAAGATTGCAAAGTTGCTCTCTAGAAGCTTAAAAAAAATATCAAGTCAGATTTATTATCTGCTTTTGCTGTTTCTTAAATTCCATGGCTTCTTAATGCTTTTCTTATAAGCTTCAATTAAAAAAACTGCATGGGGCCAACAGGTGCTGTAGGGATTAAGGTGCTGGATTCCCACATGGTCAACCACTGTTAGTCCCAGATCGAGTGACTTGAAAATCACATTGGACATATGTACATGCATGCTCAGAATCCCAGGAGGAGAATGGAGAAGGGATTGAGGCATGGCCATCTCCCTGGAGGGTAATTTCCTCTCTCTCTCTGTCTCTGTTTCTCTCCAGTGAGCACACGTACCTTATGGCAAAACCAAAAAAAAAAAAGAAAAATCAGCATATGTGATATGTTCAGTTAAAGATTATTTTCTAAATTGAAGTAATTTCATATTGTTTTACAAACAATGAATCAATAAAAGTTGGGTAACATAATGTATGAATAATTCTCAGAAAAAAATAGCTCTACAGAAAACACAAAATATTTAAGATCTTCTAAAGAATAGATACACACTAGAAAAAATTAGAATATTTCAAGAACAGAATATTAGCAGAATGCATATTTTTAAAATATGAATAATCGAGGGACTAGCAGGTGGCATGGTGGTTAAGGCGCTGGACATTCCCACATGGTCGACCACGGTTCAAGTCCCGGACCTGGTAGCTTGCTTTTTCACTTTCTCTCTCTGTCTCTCCTCTCTCTCTCTCTCTCTCTCTCTCTGGTCAAATTAAAATAAATTAATGAATAAATAAAATTAAGACTTTTAAAAAAATACGAATAATCGAGGTACCAACAGATGGCGTAGTGGTTGAATCATTGGACTTCCACATAGCGGACTGAGGTTTTAGTCCCAGACCCCGTGGCTGAAACTCATGCTAGGTGTATGTGTGTGCATGCCTAAGATCCCGGAAGGAGAATACAGGAGAGAGATTGCAGCACAGACACCCCACCCCTACCCAAGGGGGATGGGATTTTTCACTTTCCTTCTCACTGTCTCTGTCTCTCTCTCTCTCTCCCTCTCTAGCGAGAGCAAGTCCTAAAGCAAAAATCTCCACAAAATAAATAAATAAATAAATAAATAAATAAATAAATAAATAAATAAAAATAGTCATTATAGGGCTATCCAGGTGACATAATGGTAAGGCAGCTAGATCCCACATGGCCAACTGCATGGTTCAGTGCTGGATCTGGCCACTTAGAAAATATGCTGGGCACATTTCCCAAGAGGAAAATGGAGGAGGAAGGATTACAACATGGCTATCCCTCCTGGGAAATGATTTCTCTTTTTCCTTCTTTCCCTCTGTCTCTCTCCAGCAGGTGCACACACCCTATAGCAAAAAGTAACATGAAATAAAATATAATTGTATTATTTTATATTGTATTATATTGAATTTATGGTAAACAGAGGTCATGTTATAGACAGTCTTGAGCAATTTCTGAGTACGAAAAAGTATTGTCAATATTTTTTCAAATATTACTATTTCAGGTGAGGATAACTGCATATGATTAAAACAAAACAAAACAAAAAACTTCCATTTTTAAACATATGCCAAGGGGGCTAGCAGGTGCCATGGTGGTTAAGGTGCTAGACCCCCACATGGCCAACCGTGGTTTGAGTCTCTGACCTGGCAGCTTGCTTTCTCCTTTCCCTCTCTCTTAATCTCTCCCTGAATCTCCCTCTGATGAACACATGTACCCTATAGCAAATTAAAAATAATAATACTAATTAATAAAATTAAATAAATATATATTTTTAAAAGTACGCCAAAGGAATTTCAATTTAGAAGGTGTTTTTGTTTTTCTTATGTAAAGTTATGCTAATATTTGTTTAAATTAGTTGAACAAAAATTTCTAATACTGAGATGGTTATACGTGAGGAGTAAAATTCTACAACATTTAAACTATATGGTTAATTTAATACTTTAATTTCATGATTATTTGTGTAAATTGCCTTTAATGTTCAAATATTCTGATGTTTAGATTTTTTTCTCTCAGAATGATCATTTTAATATATGAAAATTATTTAATAAATGAAGAACGGAAAATAGAAGCTGTAAATAAAATAAGAGCGTATTCATAGTCCTTAACTAGTTGGCAAAAGTCTTCCCAAAGATTCCTATATATCTCATGATCCATTTGACAAACAGTTACCAGCTACTAAAGTCAATGTGAATAAAGACGATAATGGCTCTGCTGAGATGACTAAAATTTTATTTAAAGTTTTCTACTATTTCTTTTAATAAGAATTAATAACGTCAGTTTCTGAGATAAACAGTCTGAGGGCAGTCCAGTCTGTGAGGGAATACTAACGTGCAATAATTCTTGTAACTAAAAATATCATTCTAAATTCTCTAAGCAGTCTGTCAATGTTATCTGTATTCCAAATACAAACAGAACTTGATCTTCTGAAGTACAGATGCCAAGAAGAGTCTGATCATTCAACAACCATCCATTGAGTACCTACTGTGTGCGGGGAAATATCTTAATTTGTATTAACTAATAATTTATAACTAATAGTTGTTCACATAATAATGAATAGCATAAAGCAGCAGACTCTCAGATGGAGACAAGTACTAGGAAGAAAAGAAAATTAAGGGTTGCGATGTGGAGTGGGAGGAGCAACAAGTCAGAGAAAGGCCTTATAACTGATACTGAGCAGAGACCTGCATGATGTGAAGGAGCCAGTCATGCAAAGGGTTGAAGGAGACAGTAGTGAGAACAAGGCTCTGATGTAGGCATGAGCTTGAGTAACTGAAGAAGGGCAAAAGACCAAGGTTGCAACAAGACGAGTCAAGGGAAGGATGGTAGGAGATGGGTCAGAAAGTTAAGCAAAGGGCAAGTAGGGTTTGGTAGATAAGGTTAGAAATTTAATTCTATAATTCTACCTTTTTTGTTGTTGTTTATTCATTTATTTCTTCCATGAGTAAAAGAGAGGAGAGAGTGAAATAATTTTCCCAATAGGGTCTTGACACTAAGATATACCCCCAGCTTCAGGTATCCCTGGATCCTAGGCCCACATGCATGGCAAGTTCAGAGAGTTCTCTGGATGCAAACTCAGTACCTTCCATGTGGGCCAGCCTTATAAGGTGTCACTTTACTGCTAAGACACCATCTGGTCCCCCATTCTACATCAGAGAATTGGTGGTAGGTTTGACCAGAAAAGTGATATAATGTGTGTATTTATCATATATGAATGTACTAAGTGCATTCCACATTTAAACAATGACTCTGCTATGAGAGTAAGAGGAAGACAGACTAGTTAGGTAAGTTACATCAGCCCAGACAAGAGGTGATGGGACCTTCAAAATGCTATGAAACTTTGAAGTGCAGAACCAGCAGGACTTGTAAATAGATACTTTGTGGAGTGAGCAAAAAGGGAAAAGAGATGTTTTAACTCATTGAAATGAATTCATTTCATTTTCATACTAGTTCTCATTGTCATGGCAATAAAGACTAAAATTCAGTTCTGTACAATATCAACTAATGTTTGTCATAGTCAATATCAAATCTAAATTCTAACTACTGTGTCCCTTATAAATAACCATTGGCATAATTCAGAACCTCTTTTTCAGTGTGACAGGATGTTTGGATGTCTCCAATTATTTTTGATGGTAGAAAAAGCACTCAAAATTAATTTTTTTTCAGATCACATTCATTTGGAGTTATTTTGCTGTGTTCATAACTGAAAGTTCCATAATATTAGGCAAAGAATGTAAGTGTATGCCTCTGTAAAAATCTAAATTCTCCCTCTAATCTATTTTTCTACTCCCCAATCTACTTGGAAATGAAATTGCACTAATAGTCATTAAAACAATAATTATATTCTGTTTCAAACATATTTCAGATGGGCCATAAAATCTCCATTAAGTCTAAAAATATTACTGCAAAATAGAATGGGTGAGCTCAGTTCTATAATTAAAATACAGCATTATGGTCTATTGTCTGTGAAACTCATCCAAGTATTCTGCAAGAAATTCCATCTAGTTGTGAAGTTTATCCAGATGTGTTCAGGGATCCCCATGAAGGCATTACCAGCTGAGTAGTGATAATTTTAGTCTTTCTTAATCACAAGGGTAAGCCAGAGATTAAACATTTACATTATTCAACAAGAATTCTTCTGTGCTCCTATATTTGGCATTAAAAGTGTATGTTTAACTAGCATTTTAAAGTTACGCAACTTTTTTTTCAGATTTTTTTTCTATCTTATTTTATTTCAGGTACTTTTATACATTCAAACACGTCATTTAGTTTGGAAAGTGAATATTCCAACAATCAATATTAACTCTTCTGTGGAGAGAAACCTGGAACTAATGTGTAGTCCTAATTGGGATGTTAAAAATCATGAATAGTACCCCTTAAAATAAATAAGTAAAGGGACCTGCAGATGGCGTAGCAGTTATGTCACTGGATTCCCACATGGTCATCCCTGGTTCAAATCCTGGACCCAGTGGCCTGAAACTCACACTGGATATGTATGTGTGTGTGCCCAAGATCTCAGGAGGAAAATGGAAGAGAGTTGATTGTGGTGTGGCCATCTCCCCTTGGGCGGTGATTTCTTACTTTCCTTCTCACTGTCTCTGTCTCTGTCTCTGTCTCTCTCTACCTCTAGGGAGCACACATACCTTAAGGCAAAACCTCTATAATTTTTAAAAATATAAGTAAATAAAAAGATAAATCAGTAAAATATTTTCTTCATGTCTTAACAAGGTAAGCTTATAATACTAGCCCCTTCCTGATAATGAAATTTAAGTCCTGAAAACTTTCTTTACTCCGCCCTTTAAAAAAAAAATCAATACATGTTAACACCAAATGTTCAAAAGAAAAGGAAGGGAGTAAGTATATGATTACAGAAGATAAAAATGTTTTTGCTAAAAATAAAAACAAAAAATTCAAGTAAGTTTAAAGTTTAAACTACTTTTTTTTAGAGAGAGAGATTTTTGCTATGGGGCATGTGCATTTGCCAGAGCTCGCCACAAAGAAAAAGAGACAGAAAACCAGAAAGCACCCCCCCCGGGGGGGGGGGGATGGCCACACCACAATCCCTTCTCCTCCATTCTCCTCTTGGGATTTTGATACACGCACACAAGTACCTGGCATGAATTTAAGCCACCATGTCCAGGACTCAAATCACTGTTGACTATGTGAGAGTCCAGAGGTGTCATCATTACATCATCTGCTGGTCCCCAGCATGTTCCTTTTACTCTTTTATTTTCCTCACGGATGGCTGTTTCTTCTAGAACACTAAAGATGACTGACTAATGCATGTTCTTCTCAGTGCACATAGACTGTAAGGCTGGCTTAGGGTGTTGCCACAATTGGACTAAGATCTCACCCAGCCTTTGACTGAAAAAGTGATGCTAGGAAATCACTATGTGCACTGAAAAGGAAACCACTTCACACTTATGCTCACTCGAGGCACCCCAGTGAAAAGAGATTCTTATGTGCCTTTGAAATATTCCAAGATGAAGAGAGTTACATGACAGCTCATAGCATTCTGTTTAAGTCCCATTTCAAAACAAAAACAAATGGTTTGTGATTCAGCTGAATCAAGTAGTAATATGGTGTAAATGTACTAACAGCTCAAGTTGATGCTACTGCAAAAGTACTCATGCTTATGAACCCTGGGCCAGAGGAGAGCAGATTGTTCCCAGCCCGATGAGCTTTGTGTCCATCGGCTTCCTGGTGGCTCCAGCCTCCTGCCTGTGTAGTGAAGCCTGCATGATGGGGGACTTGGGAGAAGCTCCCTGCCCAGAAATGCAGCTCATCCAGGCCAGCAGAGAGGAGGTGGATCAAGAACAAGTTGGGGAGAGCTTGGATATAACACGGATTGGGGAAAACTAAGGGGGAAAAAGCCCTATTTTATTCTTTCAATACAGTTCCCAGCAGGAAGATCAGGATAGGAGGTTCTCGTCTGCTCCAGATTAAAGGAACCCGCAGTTTCCAGGTGAAGAAGGGGGGTTCCTTGTCCAGCATTCGCCGGGTCGGCAGCTTAAAGAGCAGCAAGTTATCACGGCAGGACTCAGAGTCTGAGGCTGAGGAGCTGCAGCTGTCCCAGAGCAGGGACACTGTCACTGATCTAGGTAACATAGAGGAGTGGGGTGCGCAGGGACGTGGGGGGCAGGAAGACAGGGCCCAGGTCTGGAAACAGCTCAAGCCCACTTTCTAACATGTAAACAGAAGGCAGAGCCATAGGCAGACAACTCATTCAGTCTGAAAACCATGCTACCCTCTTAGAGTAGGGCTGCTCCACCTGTAATGTGCACACGGGTCACCTGAGAGTTTTGTTCAAAGGTAGATTTTGACTCAGTAGTTTTGGGTTGAAGGAGTTTGAGTTTCTCCATTTTTAACCAACA